TGATTCCTATATTCAACTGTAACCCCAACAGTCATTTCATTCATCCATACAGCACAAGTAAATATCTATGGCATTATTTGATTATTACAGCAATGTTAAGGTTACTGTTCATTGAATATAACTATCTTTAATACTTTGTTTTACCCCCATTGAATGTCAATATATATGTATACAATGTAAGAATTTGTACACATTAAAATAAATTAATATTACCTCAATAATCTAAGTCAGCAACAGTACACAACCCGCTGTTCTCAGATACCCAAACAGCTTCCTCGGTATGACAGCAACTTTACCATTTTCTTCTAGTAGGTACAGTATATAAACTCCGATAAATGCCGCAGTGTCGCCTCACATACACAGTCTGTACTACCCAAGACGGTTGATGGCTTTTGTTAGGTTACCATAGAAATATAATGCCATTGCAACCTCATGCAGTGCAGCTCAGCAAACAATTTATATTAGTAACAGTACCGGGTATAGTTCGCCAACATCTCCAGAAACAGGAAAGTCTTAACTACAGAACAGCCCAACATGTTGTTCTCTAATAAGTGTTACAGTATAAGTTGACCTAGGCATTAGGAAAAATAATCAGAGACTTAAGTGCTTTTATACTGATTTTAAATTAAGAAAAAAACACTTGGTAGAAAAATTAACAAGGTTAATAAGATAATTGGCCTAATAAAAGCATTTGACTACCTTGGCAAGCTGTTTATAATCGTGTTTCCAAAAGTTCTAAATCAGGTACTATATTGAATATGCAAATCAGATATAGTCTCCACACTTTGCAAATTACAGTATATAGGAACCATTAATAATTTCTTGTGGTGAGCGACTAGACTAGAATCATCATTAAAAGGTCTGACTTATGAAGAAATACTAATGGTATTAAAACTCGCTACACTTACATACAGAAGGTTCAGGGGAGAAATTATTTAATGTTTCCAAATCATGGACAATTCTATACTAAAATATGTCTGATTATGTCTGAAACCAAAATCGACTCCATCAAGAGAACACGATAAAAAGAATGAAAAAAGTTCGAGACTGAATATAATAACATTATTTGCAATAGTTGTGGATAACTGGAATAATCTGTCTGCAGCAGTGGTAACTCCATCACTGATACAATGTGAAAACAGCTGGACATTACTTGGCACACATAACAGATATATGACTACATTTAAGATCAAATTAAGCACCACAACACAAGACTGGACACCCGACATATCTAAAACTGCCGTCACAAAAGGAATAGCCTTAAGCAAAAGATTTTGAGTGATATTCTGAGAGAAAAGAGAGCACAGCAAAATACGAGTGGACTAATAACTGAATCCCAACAGTTATGTAAAGCCCAACACGATGTGCTGTAATACTTCTCAATACAATGCAGTAAACTGGTCTACAAAATAAAAGGTATTACCGGTATACTTCAATAATCGTTATAGTAGGAACTAAAAACATACGACCTATGATCATAAATCACTTACAGTGGGCAGGGTACGGAGGAGAGGGACTGCGGTGAAAAACTGATCATGACTCTAATATGATGTCACTAGGTGCTTTTTACACGAAGACATTAATTATTTTCTTTACCTTAAACACTGTATTGTATTCAGCAGAAATCAGCCTGTCAGGGGGTTGTTGTCCGTTCTTTGTTTACGCTCGGGCCCGCTCGGTCAAACTGTCGTCCCCCCAAAAACGTAAAATTATACCATGCCGCCACAAAAAAAAAAAAATGCTTTTATTAGTACCAGATATTATAATAAGCACAGATATTTTTGTTTAATATGGTGGGGGTCCGCCCCTTGGCTAGGAAATTAGGTAGGTTTATTTGGTTGGTTATGTCAGGTTCTGTTAGGTTCTGTGCAATGTTGTATTATTTTTATTGTATTACTATTGGTCATTTTTCGTTAACCACCCATCACCTTTTTTCACATGAAAAATATATACCTGACCTGACCTAACAGGCCTCGTCCTACTTAGCCGGAGGCTTGGGACTTAGAAAATTCGTGATTATTACAACAAATAAATCGCGAACATTGCGTTTATTTTTTAAATGCCCCGCTAAATTCAAGTGTATTCTTTCGTTTCTTAAAAGGATCTATTAAATGGTAAGAGAAAAAATCGTAAAAAGGCGATGGTGGTTAACAAAAAATGACCTTACAATAATCCAAAGAACATCTGTGGAAAAAAGTAACGAAATCGAACCACTCTTTCTGTTAGCCGACTGTTCCAGGATTACCGAATTCAATAAAACTCCTCGAACAAAACCGTCACTAATAAAACCAAAAATGTGAACGACCACACAGGCATCCAACCACAGAAGGCGGCGGGACAGTTTACACCACCACGTTACCAAACACTTCCAAACTCCCCAAAAATAGAACATTACTGAGGTTAACGTTAAGCCTTGCATATAATAGCGAGTTATGGACACTGTTGAAAAAGCTAATGTCTATTTATCTGGACTCATCAATATTTCCGTTTTATAAGACTTCTTTATAACCTACCTGTGTCATTAACCTGTCAGCTTCACAGTCCACCGCCTCCATCAATCTTGGCAAATGGCAACTGATCCACTATTTACATGCTACTCCACTTGATCTAGGCTCATGTTAAATAGGTGGATCATCCGGGGTGTTCAGTGTGAATATATCCACCTCCTGAGTCTCCCATTATATATAAATCCGTGATGGTACTTCATAAACTAACTAATTGTTCACCTACACTATACCCAATGTACTATATAGAACTATTTTCTTATATTATCTTATCAATGTCGTCTGCTTGTTTACACATTGAATATGACAATAGGAATCCACACACGAGCGCAAAATACAAATGAATATTCTTATCAAAAATATTAATAATAGACATGAATAAATACAAAAATAATTAAAAAGTGAGAAACAATATACTGTGTGTGTTTGGCAGCAGGGTCTACCATTAGACAACACATTATGCTTCCAATATCTTCCCAGGCGGTAGTACCTCCCTGTTTGGTAGCTGCCTACTACCGCCCTCAACCAACACCTTCAACCAACAATAACTACCATCACTTCAGCCATCAATAACTACCAACACTTCAGCCATCAATAACTACCAACACCTTCAACCATCAACAACTACCAACACTTCAGCCATCAATAACTACCAACACCTTCAACCATCAACAACTACCAACACTTCAGCCATCAATAACTACCAACACTTCAACCATCAATAACTACCAACACCTTCAACCATCAATAACTACCAACACTTCAACCATCAATAACTACCAACACTTCAACCATCAATAACTACCAACACTTCAACCATCAATAACTACCAACACTTCAGCCATCAATAACTACCAACACTTCAGCCATCAATAACTACCAACGCCATCAATAACTACCACTTCAGCCATCAATAACTACCAACACTTTTACCAAAGCCATTCGAATCCTTCAACCATCAATAACTACCAACACCTTCAACCATCAATAACTACCAACACCTTCAACCATCAATAACTACCAACACCTTCAACCATCAATAACTACCAACACTTCAACCATCAATAACTACCAACACCTTCAACCATCAATAACTACCAACACCTTCAACCATCAATAACTACCAACACCTTCAACCATCAATAACTACCAACACCTTCAACCATCAATAACTACCAACACCTTCAACCATCAATAACTACCAACACTTCAACCATCAATAACTACCAACACCTTCAACCATCAATAACTATCAACACTTCAACCATCAATAACTACCAACACCCTCTTTGTTACCTATTTCATAGGTGTGTAGAGCTGTTTCCTCATCAGCCAGTACCAATACTCCATACTGCTGCCATCTGAGCTCATCCTGTAATGCCAAACCTGTGTCCATGGTATCTTCTGCCTTCTTGCACTCTCTTCACCTTTCTCTTGAATTCTCATGTGTTCGTAAAATTCGACTGCCTTAGTTTTTTACCTATACAAAATTATCCCACAACAAAATGGCTGCTGTCAAAATTACGGTCTAAGCCCTAGACTCTCGGGCTTCAGATACAGTATTCCATATAGGTGGGACCATCATGCTTGGAGCTCCACGAGTCTTGAAGACTTGCTTTACCATCTTTCCCGGGTTGAACTTGAGACTCACAAAAAATGGTTAAACTTATTCTGTCCTCAAAAAATTTTAATATCTCTCGTAAGACAAGCGGAATGATCTCCAGGTAATTAAAGGAATGTTTGGTACAGGGAATAACAGCCATTATATTGATATTGGTGATTCACCATTAAATACCCAGTGTGAACGCCAGCCATCGTAGCAGCATTGTCATACACCTGACCATGAGGGTTCATGGCAGCCATCTTGTACTTTCCTAATGATTTGCTTTGTTAAAGCATCGGTCATTGCCTTCCAGCTCCATAAAAATCGAGAAGTGACTTACTATCACCTCTCCACATGTAGTATGGACAGATCCGAGAATTGCTGTACAGTCCTCTGATGAAGTGACCTGGGATACTATACAAGATACAGGCTAGCTATTCTGACCTTGATGATGATGTAATTCACCTGCACACCCAGTAGTTGTAGGAAGTCATTTAGAATGGTTGGTGGGAGGTATTTTCTCAACAATTTCATGAGTAACAGAAAAGTACCTTGATTGTTATTTATCCCTGAAAAGTAAGATGTTGCCATTATAAGAACATAATACTGTCAAGTATTCGTGTTGTTTGAGAAAAATGGGCATCAAATTGTGATTGTTATTTGTTAATGCAAATGTTTACATTCATATCAAGAAAATGGTCTCAAAATTTGATTGTTTTTCATTAGAGCGATATAAAGAAATGGGTGTCTAAATGTAAGGGTTACCAACGTATATTAGGGTTACCTGTACATAATCAAGACCCATTACCTTCTACAGATTAAGCACAATTCTATCTCCATCAAATAGCCATAACTTAGCCTTAATTTAGTTTTTGGTGAGAAATACACTAACAAATGGTATATATTAAGAAAACATTTTATTTGTATAAGTTTTTGAATGAAAATATATGATGTCCACGATGCAGTTCTCCAAAATCATAAAGTATTTCTAATAATTTCTTTACCGGCACATCTTATAATGGAGATAATAGTATCCTGGTCCACGCACACTGAAAGTCTTAGTACAACCAAGAATCAATACACTGTGCAAATTTCAGTTTCTATAGGTGGATCATGAAGCATTGTCTTCATTTTCTTCCAGAGACTGTTCCACATACTCCACCAATGTCTGAAACAAAGTAGGAATCATAATATAAGTTAAGGGCAAACAAGTTAGTTTAGTATTATTATGTAAACGATAAAACAAACGCTCTTTTATACCCCTACTCAGATTGGGTCAGCACTTGATGAGATAACTGGACAAGCCCTCAAAAATAATCCTTATGTACTATATGCCAATCCTCTCCTACTCAATCACCCTTCACCTTTGTGTCCTCTGTTGACATATCCACTTCCAGATAGCTGAAACACCTCACTTCCTCTAATCTAATTTACAATATAATCCTCCGCAACATTTTCATTTATTCTTAGGATTTTTCCCTTTATACTGGACAACCACCCATACATCCTAACATTACTCTGGTGTTTGTCCCTCTGTCACACAGTGCCTATAAAATACTTAATTTTTTATCCTCTTGTCATATATAATGTGTATAATACATATCAATCATCTGTTCCTATATCATACACAATGTAAACAATCATTTATTTTATTATTGTTGTTTTTTTACATCTCATCCTTAACAGTTCAATGGTAACTCCATCCACTACTAACACCTTCTCATTCTTAAGCTTCCTTGCTGCCTCACTCATAACTTTCCCTTTCAACAATGTCTCCATCACACTCATTGTGGCATTGTTTATTGAATTCTAAAGCAATCACTCATAACTTTCCCTTTCAACAATGTCTCCATCACACTCATTGTGGCATTGTTTATTGAATTCTAAAGCAATGGTGAGGGTTATGGTGACCAAAATGATACAGTGCTCATCTCTTGTCTAAAGAGTCACTGGTTCATGCTCCCAGATGTGAATGGGTTCTCAGTATCACAAATAAAGTAGTGAAGGCAGTTGAGAGTAATACTGACCACAATGCCTCCTTGTGTACGCTAGGTTTAGTATTCAGTGTGCTTTACCTTCAGTGCCCCTAATGGGCCATTAGGCCTACAGGATCCACTTAACAGGCCATTAGGCCTATAGGATCCACTTAAACTTCTTATGGTAGTGTAGCTTACACCTTACTTTGACATTACTGTACAGTAAAATCATTGGATTATACATTTCATATTTACCTTTCTGGAGAGATTGTAAATCCTCTGACATATTTCAACTACAACCTCTAATCCTTCACAAAGGTTATCTGCTGACACTTGGCCTCCTTGTACTAAAAGGGTAACTTGACCATTGGCATACTTGGGCATCATTCCAACAGTCAACTGGCCACCCTCACTGCCTGAGCTGCGAATCTCACGGCCTTCATATTCCTCTTCATAATGTGTTGGGTCAGCATAAAGAATACCATTATGCCACAGCTGAAATAAAGTATTGTACAAACTTGCAATGAAATCTTAAAATGTACAACAGCCCAAATAATGTGTAGAACTCATTCATACCTATAGCACTTTGTAACAGTTTTTATCCATAATACTTAAACTCAAATTGCCTTGAACGCGGGAAAAGACTGAAGGTTATATTGCGGACATGATGCACCAGCAGGAGTGTTGTGCATCACAAGATTAAACTTAGGAATTTATTTTCTTCAACATCTGTCAGTTTTTTTGCTGGTAGAAATAACTCAACTTTAATCATTGGGAGATACTGGCCATGCACGGGTTTAACTGCACTCAACTACAAGTCATAAATAGTAATACAACAATAAATATTCACCACTGTAGCTCCAATGACGAGGTCATAGACATCAATATTGGCATGGCAGAGAGCTAAGCCAGCAGCAGTGATACAAGCAGCCAGCAGTCCTCCATCATCCTCAATAACAGTCACATATACATCTATCTGGGACTTTGGGAATTTGTCCTGTGGAATTACAAGAGGAAATTATCAATATATTTCTTCATACACACAGGATCAAATTTCCATCTTACAAACTTCTACTTTTTATGATCCACACAAAATGTGATAACAATCATGAGGTCATCATTCACTTACAAGGATAATAACAGTTTCTAGGGCATCTTTCAGTTGTCTGCTCATCTCCTTTTGTTGTTTGTCAGGCTGTGGTGATCGCCTCACTAAGCAAGAGAATGGGGCCATCTTCACTTCACACAACACCTATGGATGAGAACATTCTTTATTTTCATAAATTAAATTAAATTAAATTTCCGAGACACTATAGTGCTGTGATTTTATGCTCGTATCACCATCCTCATTTCAGCTTGCTCAAGGCTTCTTATGTCTCATACATATTGCATACCTATACACAGCACACAAACAATTACCTAAGTAACAAAAGCACAGACTTATACTGTGCTCTGACAGCAACCCACCCAGATAGTACATTCTAATCTACACAAAATCATGTAAGATACAGAATAAAATACTGTACTGTACACTGCACTGACACAGATATGGACAAACACTTTACAAACACACACACATACACTTGTATACAGTATACACAAATTGTACTCCCATCTACACACTAACATACCATCAGCCAATATCACACTAATACTTGCCATGTTTCATCAAAATTGGTTAACATGTTTCACTGGTCATTCACTCAGAGCCCCCCCCCCCCAACACACACATACACAAAGAGAAAAAATAATATCTTCCTGATCTAAGTACACACTATACCTTATTTTACAATATATTTAGGAAAACACTTTTTAGTGTACAGTATTTCATCATTTAGTGTTTACTCCTAAAGTTTATTACTAATGTGGATCATGATACTGTACACTAAGTCTGTATAAATAAAATACATTTCCAATGATATTTCCTTCCTGTGGCCATAATGTTCTTAACATGAGGGTTTAATACTGCAGACGAACGTGTTAGCACCGTCCTTGTTGATAATATGTTATTACCAAGTTGTTGTTACTAACATGTCCATACAATACACTACTATGACAACTTAATACTGTACAGTGCTGTAGTAGTCTTAGTTGTACGCTGATATATGGAGTTACGTGCTAGAGTGTGGCGATGGCTGTCAGTATTATTCACTGTTTTTATCATAATTTAAGTTTCTTTCAAAAGCTAAAGGATGTTTACTAATAACAATAATAAGGTGAATGTGGCAGGTATAACATTAATAGATAGTAATGCTTGTAAGAGTTCACAAATGGTTACTGATTACCTCTGAAGAATTGGGTGCCATACTGACAACAACTGTCTCTGGTTATCCAGCTTAATATTTACAATAAATCCTTTTATAATTAATTGCAAGTTATAATAATACAGTAATATGTTTAAGTAAACAATAACACTTTTATTATGGAGTTGGTCGAAGTAAATCTGGCTTACTGGAGACAGTATTTGGGGGATTCATTAGCCTGTGGGAGACTCGCAGGCCACAACCTCACATATTAATGATATTATATACAAGGTGATTTTTTCAGCCTTTTTTTCTAAAGTGTCATATACAGTATGTCATAAAATACAAGTCACAACAATTACTAACTTAATATAAACTTGTGAAAGGACAAAGACATACAACAATAGATATGAGGGTGTACTGTGTGAATGGACACAAAGCCTCACCTTGCAAGACATGTTGAAGTCAGAACCTCTCTGTACGTCCATGGGTCCATAAACCCCACAACAAACTTTAGTGTTTCCAACCTCCAGGTAAGACGATCCTTTTGCTTGACTAATCACTCCCAAACTCATGACTGCAAACAATAAAATTTTGTTTAATTTGTCAGTTCATAATCCTTCAGAAACTTGTCACATCAAATAATTTATCAGTCAAAATCCTACAAACTTAATGTACTCGAGTCAAAACATACACATATCCATGCATTTCTTCACTACATCCAATCTTCATCCTTAGTTACACTGCCCATATCAGTTCATAATATAAGCTAAAACATCTAATAAATGTTTTCAATAATCACTTCATTGGGATAACAACTTTACTCCAATGTTTTATTCAATATACTTCTTAACTACTGTAACACTACTGTATATATCTTTACTCCCACACATTCCTTCGTATTACATCTCAGAGTAAATATTCCTCTAAGAGTAAATGTACCCTAACATAATTGCAACAACAATATATACTAAAATTAACACTGATTATGATTTTTCTTCCATGCAAAAGAGTGCTGTAAAAAAAATCTTAAAAAAAAAAGGTAAACACTTACAATATTTACGAGGGTCAACAGCAGACCGAGCATCCCTTCTTGAGGAATCCTCTCCTAAAAAAGAACTCTTCTCTTGTGTCTGCAGCAGGGAGTACGGAATACTTTTTTCTGGACCCATGATCCGACGAGTGTCACGACTTCCCATCTTGGCTTGTATTTCTTTGACAACTTCCAAGAGGCTGAGATATATCTAGGAATATGGAATAATACACTCAATCCTGTAAAAAAATATATATAAAATTGCAATGAAATTTACCAGTGTCTGTCTTTACAAGTATATACGTAATTCAGATAATTATTTGCAATAAGTTAATAGCTACAAAGTATGATTTAGGCAGTGCCAACATACATTATGATTGCAGCAAAGACAGTACTGTTCACAACAGTGGAGCAGGTGATTATCAAAGGGTATTACTCAGGAACAGTATTGCTGATTAACCAGGAACTTCAGAAATTTTTTCTATAGAAGAAGAATTCTTTCTTACCTCTAGGAAATTCAAATATTTGTTAATGATTTTAATTTTCTATACAGTTTTGGAAATTTTTTCATCTTGAACACTATTCTACTTCCACTCACTTCCGTCCAGACAAAGCCATTTTCACCTTTTAGATGACAAAATTTTCATACACAGGAATGCTTCCCAGTGACACATAATCAAGCATCAACTTTATAACATTTATGTGTAGAAGATAACATCTTCCCTACCTTAAGATGCCAAATATGACAAATGATTTACAATTTTCATAATATTATTTTGTCCTAAATGTTTCCCAGCAACTGTTCCACACAGAGGAACAACTTACCAGCTACAGTTACATTACTAGTAAATGATTAACAGGATAGGATGAACCAACCTAACCTACTTATTCTAGGTCAGGGCAGATAAGGTACTGTAGGAAGGGTGAGGTTTGGTTGGTCAACATCTCTAATAAATTATGCAGTCATGTAGTAGGTGGGAAGTTGTTCCTCGGTATACAATAGTCACTGGGAACCATTCCTGTGTATTAAACGTTACCTGAAAAGAATACCGGTGCTGGGCGGTTGTTAATTTGTGTTCTGACTGAAACAGTGGCCAAAATAATATTTTGAAGAACAAATCCTCTTCATTTTGAGGGATTGTCTTGAGATAAGAAAGAAGATCTCCACTGAAATATTGGTAATAGTTAAGATCAACTGTACACCTTCACTACCTACTGCCCAATATTTCACCATAAAACACAACGCTTTCTTACCTCATGAAATTGACATAAAATGTACAAGTAATATATTGTGAGTGGAAAAACTTTTATGATTTTATTTTTTTGCTATAATTTAGAGACACAGTCAGCGTTGTCAACCGATACCTGCCATACTGTGTTCTCGAAGATGTGTTACAGCAGTATTTTAGGTTAAGTTAGGTTAGGTTAGCTTGGTTAATTTAATGAACAATAAATTATAGAAAGTGGCAGCAGCTAATTCATGAATGTTAGTAGTTGCCGAGAGGAACCGTCAATAATTTGTCATTCATAAAGTGAACCAAACCTAACTACCTAATCAGACCTATCCTAAAATACTACAGTCATAAGTATGTTATATTAAAAAAAATAATAAAATGCCGAGACGCAACAAATATGGCAGGTAGATTTTAGTCTTCTCTGCAGACTAACGATGTAAAAGCATAAATCTAACCTACACAAAACATATTGATCAAGCATTTCTCATCAATTTCATGAAGTAAGAAACATTTGATAATCTCTAGTAAATTGTCATACAGTAGGTAGGTATGACACACAATTGGTCTTAACTATTACCAAAATTTTTTTTAATACTATTACCAACTAAATAGCAATATACTGTATCCACAAAACAGTAATATTATCGTTTCAGTTATCCACCTACTTGGAAGCTGAAATTACCCTATGTGGGAAAAACAATTTCAGCCCAACCTAACCTAACCTCCACCCAACCTAACCTAACCTAACCTAACCTAACCTCCACCCAACCTAAGCTAAGCTAAGCTAAGCTAAGCTAAGCTAACCTAACCTAACCTAACCTCCACCCAACATGATAAACTAATGTCAACTTATATGATGATTTACTACATACATATCATTTAGTATATACAGTATCATACAAGGTTCATTATAGTATGGTAGTGTATTACTCTTCTCTCTCACCTCAAGTTCTTTTGGAATATTTATAAGGAAGAAAAGTTGTGGTTATTACCTTAAGAAGTTACTAAAGAACTGTAACTTAGGTGTATTTAGAGGTTACTTTATAGAGGTGCTGCCACGTTGGTTTGATAGTTGTTATTGTGGTGTTGAGGCCAAGGAAGGTGTACTGTAAGGAACTATCAGTCTTATGGGAGTGATTACAGCCTTAATAGTTGAATACTTGTCCTGGAGATGGTGATGGATTACTTTAAATCTTCAACACTACATATATTAATCTACCTTTACTTGTGGTTCTGGATGTAATAGTTATACGCTAAGATTCAGTATGCAGTAAATATTCACAAACATTTATGGTGAATTTAAGTTACAGTTACTGGCCTGTCACTAGAAAGGTCTCAGTAATTGACTAACCGCCCAACCTGCTAATTAGGTGATAAGTGGTGAAATGGTAAATAATAAAAATATATAAATAAATGTCATTGGTACAGAAAAAAATCAGCGGGAAATATTATATAGTGTAAAAAAATCCAGCACACCACTTTCCATTTGGTGTCTTGTGGCTTGTCCAATAGATGGCTGTCACGGCCTAACGTCCCTTATGGTATTCCCTGGTTGAGGCGCCACAGATCACCATCACCTTTATCAGTATTCAATTCATAACTAATATTGGTGTGGGTAGTCGTAATTACTTTTAATTGTTTATATTTTCAACATGTTACCATTATTTTAAAGAAAATCATTACCCAAATAAAAAAAAAATATTGCTTCACATGAATGCCAATTTGTTATATGATTGCATGACATTTCCCCTGAAAGAAAATTAATTTGCTTGGATGAATAATTGACAGCAGTTGGTGTGTGTATGAACAGTTTTATTAGACACTGTGTGTGTGTGTGTATGCGTGATGATACATACGATGTGTTTTATGTGTGTGTGGCATGATACAGACGTGTGTGTGGAATGGTGATATAGACAGTGTGTGTGTGTATGTGGAGGGGGGTTATTATTCAGTAGATGTAGTAACAAAGAAAACCCCTAATCAGTAATATGTTTATCATTATGATTATAATTAGGATTATAGGTAATCATATAATAATCATTTAGTGTACGTTATCAAATCCCTTAATATTTCAAGATTTCGTAAATTCGGTAATTGTTTAATTTACATGGATTATATGGAACTTTATTGAAATTTACAACAATTCACTGTATACTGTGAATCTTAGAGTAATACTAATACACCTACAACCACAAGCAAAGGTAAATTTATAATACGAGACGTAAACCAATGGTGCAGGTTAAAGTGACTGGACATGACATGCCTACTACCTAGTACTGCACCAGCCTAAGGGTAGAACCTGAGAAGTGAACGACGGACATGACGTCGGGTTTTAAGTTGAAAAAAGATGAGGACAAATAAGTCCTTAAGTCAGTAAACACCAGTATCAGCAGCAGGTAGAGATAGTAAGTCAACACGTGAGGGGAGGTGTTGGTCACGGTGGGAGGCGGCGCATGATACCAGCCAACACAAAACCTCCAACCTCTTTTTATCTATCGTGGTCTTCACTGCAGCTCTTCCTCAGGTGACAGCCCAGCAGTCAACGCTACTACCTGGAACAACATTGTTAACATGGGATCAACCGGATGACTAATGGTAATGACCATCATTAAGACCACTCACCACAGCTCTTGAGGCTCAGGTAAAGTTAATATAATATTATGAATTTAAAACACCTATACCTTACATAAGTGACCTACACCTTGTATGAAATGACCTACACCTTACATAAAGTGACCCACACCTTACATAAGTGACCTACACCTTACATAAGTGACCTACACCTCACATAAAGTGACCTACACCTTACATAAGTGACCTACACCTTACATAAAATGACCTATACCTTGTATGAAGTGACCTACACCTTACATAAAGTGACCCACACCTTACACAAAGTGACCTACACCTTACATAAGTGACCTACACCTCACATAAAGTGACCTACACCTTACATAAGTGACCTACACCTTACATAAGTGACCTACACCTTACATAAAGTGACCTACATCTTCATAAGTGATTTACCCACTTCAAGATATTATGTGAGCACTTTTATCATTCTTTCTAATCCAAACAAAAAACACAAGCACGTCACAAATGAAAAACAATAGCAATGATTTTCCTGAAGGTGATGTTGGTGGGACACACATCAACCAAGTATATACAGTACAGCACAATAATCAATTAACATAAACAATTCCTCAGTAAGTTTGTTCGTGTTTTCCTCCAAGCTTTTAATTATTTTTTTGCTTACAGTGAGTAATGGAGGAAGACTTCGGGTACGTGAAGGTGTGGCACGGCCCCGGCCCTATACGAGACCTCTTGCAGCCTAGTAAAAATGGAGGTGACTTCCAACAGCACTGGGAGCCACTCACACCCCGCCAGAAAGAGTGGGACACCCGTCTTGTGCGACCTGAGTCCTCACTTTACGATATTAATGACAAATATATGGATGTAAATAATGTATCAGTGGATCCTAATGAAGGCTATGTGGATTATTATGGTGCGTATGTGGATGATAATTGTGGAGAAACTAATGGATTGCGATATTCTCCCGTTGTTGATGTCCACCTGGCCAGGTATGGAGAGCGAGACAGACAGGTAGAACGAGAATTCAATACTGACACGGCCTCGGGTGAGCTGCAGAATCATAATAAAGTTTTCGTTCATACAAATGGAGAGAATTATAGGTATGGTGAGCTCCCAGGCCACCAGAGATGGGGTGACAACTTCTCCCATGAACGACCCCTCGGCAAACATCAAGAGCCTTCATATTCTCCTCTTGTTAGGAGGAGGAGTAGTGTTGTGTTTGAAGACCAACAAGGACAACTCATCACTCAGAAACAACCGAGGAAATTCGGACAACAACACCAACAAGACCAACTGCCAACAAGATATGCTTGGGAAAACTGGAAAGTGTATAATCCTTCCCAAGACGTTAGGGAGTCGACCAAGCTGCACTATGAACGAGGACGACCAAGAAGCCCTCGTCGAGCACATGATGAGTCAAGTTCAGCTCATCCATGGTACAATTTTGCAACACCAGAAGGTGACCCACACAGAGTGACAACAGCGGTCCGCGAACCACAGGAAACTAGACAAGACCAAAGTTCTTCCACCGACCAATCCAGAACTCAAAATGGTAATTCTCGCTTTAAGAGAGAGCAATGGGTGGACCAGAGAAGGTCTAAATCTTTGGATCCTAACAGGGCAGACCGTCATAAGCCAGAGTTTGTGGAAGACCGCAGGAATCATCATGAAAGGTCTGAATCCACAGAACCTCACAGACTTGACCTTCATATGTCCAAATTTATAGAAGATTGTAGAAATCATCAAGGAGTGCTTGAACCTACGAAGCCTCACAGGACCGAAAATAAACACTCAAAACCCAGAAAACATGGTAAAGGGCAGCAAAGAAGGTCAGAGCCCAAGGAGAATCGTCGTTGGAACCAGCAGGAAAGATCAGAACCCAAAATGCCATACATACCCCAACCAGACTATACTTGGTACAGAAAGAAGGTTTGGAAATAAGTAGTGTAACATTACTGAGTTCCTGTCATATATAAGAAAACTTTAAGTTACTATAATTTACCTGGAGATATGTATATATGTAAACAACTACTGTACTTAATTATACTTAATGATATTCTTCTTGTCTCAGCTGTTAAAATGTTAATGATTATACTTGACCCTGTAAATAATCACTATACCTGTACAGTAAAATGCAATTTTGTTCTGCCATGTAAAAGTTGGTCTCACAGGCTTGACAGCAGGTCAGGGACAGAGTGAATACAGCACCACTGTTTACTGTATTAACTTAACCCATCAGTATACAAGGAGACAGCACTGCACTCAACCACTTTCCCTTTCCCAGCAATAAAATTAAATACTGTACTGTACCCACTAACAGCTCGGTGAACTGGGGTTGTGTGGGCACTGTAACTAGCGACCTGGTGAACCAAACAAACAGAAGGCCACCACAGTATCTACTCAGCCACCACAACTCTTTATCCTTGTGTCATATCTTTATACAAATGGTTGGAATTGTGTAAGAAAATGGTCTCATGTCAATTATCTATTAAATTTTTGACTGTTTGTCTTAATTTTATCAAGTAATGAATGAAAATAATTGTACACTTCCTAGAGACTATAAATGCCTGTACCTGTACTGTGACTGATTAATTGGAGATTTGAAAGAAAAACTTCCACATCTAACATTGTTTGTCTCTTCTGGGATAAACAAATGGGAAAGTGTACTAGAGGTCACAGCCTTAAATAAAGGAGCTATCACATCCATGAGCTCATAAATGCCCGGTATATTTGCCAATAGTGCATAACAGAGAACTGACCGACAGCCTGACCATCTATTAAGCTGACAGACGAGTGGTGAATAAGATATAGTTATAGCCTTATTTACAATGGAGTTACGTTCGTGAAAAACCCATCGCAGGTCAAAATATCGTAAATCGGGATTATTTTAACGTGGAATTCAATAGGATACCTGTACATTCCCAGCCAGTCCGATACCCACAAATATCACCGAAAAAAAATATATAAATCCTACACTAATACTATACTGTACTTACAACACAATTAAACAACACTCACCACATCATTAAGAACAAGCCTGGTTATCATCATATGTCCCCTATGAGCAGGGCCGTCCCTAGGAGGGTGCGGGGCCCGGGGCAACTCAGCCACTGCGGGGCCCCAGATTATAAGGTCAGAGGAACCCACCCCCACCAACCCCCATGAGATTGTCGCTATGGCTGGTAAGGCTCCTGATTGATGATGATGATGATGGGAATTAGAATGGGGGTGGAGGAGAAGGGAGAAGAGAAGGCATTGGGGTGGAAGAGAAGTCACCCCATGCTGCCATTTCACCCATAAAATTTTAGTTCTCTTGGTGTAATTCAAGATTATTTTCTTTAAATCAACACTGCACTGCATTGTATATTGTCAATATGTAAAATAAACTTCAGAATGACCAATAATTTTACTGTAAAAACATAAAAATAGTTTAAGTTCAAGAGAGTCTCAAGCAAGAATCTTCCTCCACTGAGCAGGGACACACACTGACGCCATTTTGGGTGTGTTGAGTGGTTGTTTGGCATGCTAAAAACTAGTTCCCTGTACTTCAATTATGTTAAATAATTGTTAAAATGACTAAAAACTTTAATATAAGACTTAGAAAATTATTGAATAGTACAACCTTCTTGATATTTACTCAAATGGTAACAAATTTAAGCCCTAAAACCGATTACTGTATTGGCGGACTAATACTACAGCTGGTGAGCAGGAGAAAACATGTTGGGCAAAATTCGTAAGGAATTCGTTAACCAAAATTTTTTCGTTAACCGAAGTGAAGAATCTTATGGAAGGTAATTCGTTAACCGAAATTTCGTTAACCGAGGCGTTCATTAACCAAGGGATCACTGAACACAGTCATAGGGGCGGATAGAGCCTGTTGACGTATTCCTCTGGCCTTGCCGGTCCCTCGGATATGAATGATGAATTACCATACTGTACATCACAGAGATCACAATTTGAATGACCCCCAACTCACCTATCTTCTGGTGGTGGCTGCCCCACCCCGGTACACTCTTGGTGTAAGGGTTAAATAGCAAAAAGAAACTCCGTTGAGTAAGGAAGACTTTAAAGTAAAAATAACTAACTAAAGCTTAACATTTATAGTTGCCCTCTTTAAAGTGTACCGAGATATTAAATTTCTTATTGCTGAAGCTCTTATTGAAAATTACTAGAGAGAATACTTGTAATACAAATTGATTTTTCATGCTCATCTACATACTGTAATCATGGTCTGTCAGTCCCTTTAGATATCAGCTTCTCCCGCACCTTCAGTGGTTAGTGTTAAATATGAGTGACACAGGCGTTGGCGGTACAGTGATAATTCACGTACCTTTTATCAATATGTCAAGGTTTTAGAATCCTGCTTGGCCCAGACACACGTGAGAAGGGTGTTATCCAGTGTGACTACCAAACATCACTGGTTTCCTCTTGTACTGACACTGGACATCCCAATCACTCGAATGGCTAGCAGGCTGATAAGTAGTGAAAATTATAATAAAAAATGTGTCACAGTGAATCAGAAAGAGGGAAAGTGGTTCCAGGTGAAAGTAAGACTGCTACAAGAATGTGTAATGTTGCCATGGTTGTTGAATATATCTGGGATATGATATAGTATAGTACAGTAGTGTCTCCTCATACATTGTACTGATTGACAAATACAGTACAGTATATTAATAATGCTTGCCTACTTAGTATCTGTTATTTGACATTCTCTTTTTGCATTAGAAAATAGTTGAGGATTTGAATAGTTTCAGTTTTGGCAGATATATAAATTAGAAAAAAGCAAATCATATACAGTATAATTATGTATTTAAGCTATTACTTTCAGCTCTTGATCACCACATGCTTACCAAGGATGTAATGAGAATGTACATAAAATATTGTAACTGTATTTTCATACAAAACTACCTACCATTACAATGGTGTGAGAAAAGTACCTTGTTATTTTCAAGACACAGATTTAAATTTTTTCCCTAACATTACATTTCATATAAAAAAATGGTACATGTTATATTTACTATATATAAGGCAAAATCTTCTAAAAAGCTTTAGTCTCGTGCTAGCACAGTGTGTGTGTGCCAGACACCTGTAACAGCATAATGGATGGGACACACATGTACATAAAGCTTCAGGAAGAATATCAAATAGGTATGCATTGCACTTCATTAAATCAGTACAGAATTTAAATCTTAATGAACAAGTGGCCTTTACCCTATGACTCTTACAATATAACAATTAATAACATTTTCACTCCATAAAGTAACATTATGTGTCTGATAACTCATGGGTGACACCATTCAAATGAAGTGAGTCATCTATGATTACAAGCAATAGAGTACAGTACTTACCATATCAATATGAACTATAGAAAAAAAAACATAATTCTATCAAATGCTATGTATAGTTCATCAGTATTGTCATGTCTACAACACTTGCACCTGCAACTATTTTCAAGGTTATTTACATCAGCAAGAGTGTAAGTGGGAATATTCGTTGCTTGTACCACAAGGAAGTTTGATGGGCACCCTAAAACAATGTAATACAGTAGCTATATTTTCTACAGACACTCGTTGAGATGTAACAGAAAATAGAAATACTTCCCTAAATATTTTGACTATATCATCATACAGGGCATTCCTAAATATATGGTTAGAATTAGCATCCTTTACCTGATACAGTACAGTACATCAATACTTTTCAGTGCTCTGCATATCAAACAAAATTGACTTAACACATTCAAATATTGTACAGTATGTATAGGAAGTTCAGGAAAGCATCAAAGCCAACCTCCACCCCCCCATCAAAAAAAAATTACCCAACATACATTTCTGACAATTATCATAAAATAAAATTGTATAGTGAGAAAAATCAAAGGAATTAATCAATTACATTATTATGGTACAGTACAGACTAAAACAATATGATTCCTGACTAGGTTAAGTCTCACAATGAGGCAAACATTATTCAAATACTTCAACAATCTGGTTTACCCTGTACAGTATCAGAATTTATTGAAAAGTGAACCAAAAAAAAAAGGCCACAATAACTGGTATGAGATGAGCTTTGTATTTGCCGATTGTGAGAAAGATGAAAAAAAAAACATTACTGACTTGGTTCAAGATTCACAAGACTTTCTACATCATATAGTATTGCCATTGTCTCCTAGCTGGTGTTTTGAGAGAGGAGAGTACAGTACAGTACAGTACAGTACAGTACAGTACAGTACCAGTAAATATAGAATCACATGTACTTTTCAAGCCATCTGGAATACAATTTGTGTGATGTAGATTGTGTGTCTGTTAGATGTGTTCTTACACCTCTGAGAAAAATCCTACATCTGAACTTTGTAGAGTCTAGAGAGAGGTCCAGCTACAAACCCTAATCATCTCCCTTACATATAATACAGTAGACATATTCATCAAAGGGTGACTGGTTATACGAGGTCTGTCCGGAAAGTATCCAGCCATTTACTATTAAAAAGATATTGCTTACCTAGGACAATGGCGCCTTAGTCCCCTTCAAGGTACTCCCCTTGGGACCTCACACACTTCTCCCAGCGTCCCTTCTACTTTTCAAAACAGTCTGCAAAGTCCTCTTTTGGGATCTCCATCAGCTGCCTCGTTGCATTCTCCTTAACTTCATCCACGGTCTGAAATCTCCTCCCATTCAATTGCGATTTTAGCTTTGAGAAAAGCCAGAAGTCGCAGGGAGCCAAATCTGGGCTGTATGGGGGGCTGAGAGACCTGGGTGATGCGATGTTTTGCCAAAAGACCCTGCACGAGACGTGAAGAATGGGCAGGCGCATTGTCATGATGAAGCTGCCAGTCACCACTTGCCCATAGCTGCGGTCGTTTCTTCTTACCGAGTCCCTCAGCCGGCGAAGAACTTTGATGTAGTACTCCTTCGTTATTGTTTGGCCTGGACGAGATTAAGGAAAATGCGATGAGGCAGCTGATGGAGATCCCGAAAGAGGACTTTGCATACTGTTTTGAAAAGTAGAAGGGACGCTGGGAGAAGTGTGTGAGGTCCCAAGGGGAGTACTTTGAAGGGGACTAAAGCGCCATTGTCCTAGGTAAGCAATATTTTTTTAATAGTAAATGGCTGGATACTTTCCGGACAGACCTCGTATACACTGATTATCTTGTAGATATAATGATGATCAAACCTTCACATTATTTTAATAACCTGTTAAAGGACTAAAGTAAGCTTCTTTGTTCATGTGTATAGTGGTAATACCTGTCCTGTACAGTGTAACATTCCAAATAAAAGTCACTACTGCATTAATGACTTTCAATGTACTGTATAATGTAGCAACTGCACAAGTCATGACTATAAAATATTGATAAGAATATTAAAATAAAATGATTGAATAAGTTTTCATGAGAAAATATACAGGTACAGTACAGTACAGTATATGAAACTCATACCAATGTTGTACTCATGAGAGGAGCTTCCTTCCATCTAGTATCTTACAAGCCATAGATAATGTAGTACTGTATATGCAATCTCTATAGTCACGATTTGCATTAAAAAGACAAGCAGATACAGGATAGGGGATAAACATTGTTGTACTGGATGGTCGTACAATATGTGCACAATCTACAGTTTGTACATTACCTAATTATATAGGTTGTGGCTGTCAGGTTATGTGGGCAGGCATCATTTTTCATAGATTGACATAATTGCACCTAGTACTGTATGGTA